TTACTAGTATATATTTAATAAAAAATAAAATAATAAGTAAACTGGATATAATTATTTATTTTAATATATTAAATTAGAGATATAGTCTAATTAAATCTAAAAAATATTAATATTAACCAGCTAAGTAAGAAACTAGACTAGAAAAATACTAAATATTAAGTTATTAAGATATTAAATATTTATTTTATTTATTTAAATATATCTACTGGAGTTTATAATATATTTTATATAGATTTATTATATCCAGTAATTATAAATTAATTATTATTTTAATAAAGAAATAATTAATAGCTCCCAGCTATTTATATTAATAAAAAAGAAAAATATTTAATAAAAATTATCTTAGAAAAGGCCTGGTAATCAAGAAAATAAAATTAAAAATTTTATTATTAGATTAAATAAATAGATTATATATAAAATATATAGAAATTAATTAAGATTTTCTAAGATACTACTGTTATTTATATATAAAAAAATTTTTAAAAGAAATTATAATTAAATTTAATACACCCCTACCAGGGCCAGAGAAGGTTTTATTAAATTAAATAATAAAAAAAAAAAAAAAAAATTATTTAACCAGTTATTAATATTCTGAAAAATTAATTATTAATATTTTAAAGAATTAATTACTAATACTTTAAAGAGTAATAATAATAGTCTTAATTATTTATATAATTAGAAATCAGTATAGTCCAGTAAATCTAAAGTTAAGAATATTTATTATTAAAGATAATTTATAAATTACTAGTATAATTATTAAGTACTAAAGCAGGAGCAGGATTAGTTAGACTATAATTAAAATAAATAATATAAATAATAAATATTATAAGAATTATAAGTATATTTATCTATTATTATCTTTTAATATAATCTTAATTATCTTAAAAAAATAATAAAATAATTTTTTAAATTATGATAACAAAGGATAGAGAGTTATATAAATTTATTAAATATTATATTTAAATTATAAATTATCCCAGAGCTTAATAAAATCTTAAAATATAAGTAAGTTTATTTTATTTTATAAAAAATATCTGAACAGGCTAGCAGATTAAAGAATATAATAAATATTAATAAAAAAAGTTTTTAACCTGATAATAGATATAGCAAATAAAACTAGAATATAAATAAAAATAAATAGAATAAAATAAAAAATAAATAAGAATAAATAAAATAAAATTAAAATATAAATAAAAGCTAGCAGAACAAAGCCAGAAATAAAAAAAAAAAAAATAAGAAGAAAAAATATAAAAAAAGAAAAAAGAAAAAAAAAAAAGATTACTCTTATATATTTTATATAAAAAAAAAATATAAAAGAGAGTGAATATAATCTGAAAAAAAAATAAAAAAAATAAAAGAAAAATAATAAAAATTTATTTTTTATTATCAGATTTAAAATAAAATAAGATTACAGCTTTAAGTAGAATATTGAAAATATATTTTTTATTTACTAAAACTAAATAAAGAAATTTATAAGTAATACAGCTGGAATAAAAAGCAAGATAAAACTAGAATAAAGAAAATAATAATATAAAACTAAAAATAAATAAAATAAATTTTTTTATTTTTATTAAATACAGGAAATAGTAAGTCTATATTCTTATATATATTAATTTTTAATCTAGACTAGTCTAATACCCAGCTGGAGGCATGGACTGCTTTTACTTATAAATAAAAAAAAAAAAAAAAAAGAAAAAAGAAGAAAAGGACTTTCTTTTATAAAAATCTAAATTAATTATTTAACTAATAAACTAATTAAGTAAGTTTATATTAAAGAGGAAATTCCTGCTTAAAATAATAATAAAAATTATATTAAATAAATAATTAAGATCAGAGTATAAAAAAGAAAGACTTAGAAATAAAGAAAATAAAAATAATATAAAATTTAGAAACTAAGTATTAAAAACAGAAGTACAGATAAAAAAATTAAAAATTAAGATAAAATATAAGACTGCAGCAGAATAAATTAGTAGAAAATCTAAATTTAGAATACTTTAATTTATAAGTATATTAGTCTTTATATTATTATCTTACTAAAGAAGAAGAGTAATATTATAGAATAAATCTTTATTAAAAAACTTAGTTAATTAGTCTTATTACTGCTTACTAATTAAATATAATATATAAAATCTCAGAAGCTTCAAGGTCCTGTTCTAAACAGCAGCTATTCCTTCTTGTCCAACAGGCAATGTACTCTTGGAACCAAGGGGCGATCCCTAACAATCTGTTTATTAACTAAGTTTATATTTAAATAGAATTTTCTAATATTATTATCTTTAATTAAGAAGATTAATTTATAGCTGACTTTTAAAATAAATTATATTAAATTTTATAAATTAAATTAAAGTTTTTAACAGTATATTATCTACAGACTAATAAATAAATAGAAATTATTAATTAATATACAGTCCAGTAATTTATTTTATTTATTAATTACTTCTAGAATAATTAATTAAAATTATTATTATTTATTAATTTTATTATTATAGCTCTGCCCTATAAATCTACTAGATTATTTTTATTTATAATTAAAAAAAAATATAAATCTTAAATATTATTTAACTAGATTTTTCTAATAAAATTATTATTATATATTATTATCTAAGACTAAGCCCGAGAGTTTATTTACTGTATAAAATAAATCTGGATTTTTATATAAAATAAAATCTAGAAAATACAGGATTAGTAAATATAATAAATTAATTAATTTTACTGTCTTATTAATTTTAATATTAATAATAAAGTTTTTATTAATATTTATAACTGGAGATAAAGCCAGCCCTTATAAAAGTTATTAAAAAACTAGTATAATTCTGTATCTATTATTAATAAAATTAATAATATATATAAGATTTATTTTTTTAAAAATATATATATATACCCTGTCTTCTACTTTAAGAAGTTTTATTTATATAATATATTTAATTTATTACCAGAGCAGATCCAAGACACTGTTATATTTATTAAAATTAATAATTAAATTAAATAAAAGATTAAGAATATTTTAGCTAATTATTTATAATATAATTATTTCTAGTATAGAATTAAATAGCTGATATCTGATATAGCTAATTATATTTAGTATTTAATAAAGAATTTTAAGAATATCTTTTTCTGCTTTTAGAATTATTATATAAAATATTTTATTTATTCTAGATTTTTTAAATATCTTTTATAATAGTTAACAGCTGCAGAGACTGATAAATTTATTTTGAATTATAAAAATAATAATTTATCCCTGGCTGAGGGCAGCTAGATCTAAATAAAAAAGTAATATAATAGCAAGTAATATCTTAAAATTATATGATTTCTGTTTATTTACTTTGTTTACTTGCCTTGCGTGGCTTATTTATCTTTATATAATTATATATTCTTTCTGAGCTTCTTCCTTTCTTTCCTCATGCTAGAAATTCTTGTTAGATAGCACTAAATTTGACTATTTGATTGGCTTCCACAATAAATATAATCAGCCGATAGTCTACAGAACAATTCTATTAATACCAGAAAGAACCATGGTATTTAGGCACCATCAACAAGCATTCTAGCAGCAGCAGCCAATACTGTATCTAGACTTTTCTTAAGATTATTCCAAAAACAATATCCTCATTCTTTATATAAAGCATTTATTTTTTAGTAGCCTGGGCATCATCCTTTAATATTATATATAAACATTTTCATGCTTTTTAATTTGTGGTATGATCTTCTTTCTTCTTAAATATCTTGGAAATGTAAGATTTCTGAGGCTACTAGAATATTTAAATATAAATAAGTACAGAGTATTGACAATTCAATAAAGCTTATCTTAATAATTAGCATTATCATACTTTAATTTACAGATCTTTGAAATCTAGACAAGGCAGCATTATTATTTTTAATCAGTTGTTCTATAATATCATTCAATAATACTATCTTTTTTAGATTAAATTAAGTATTCTTATTTTATTCTTCTATATATATTATTATTAACTTTTCTTTCTAACAGGGACCAAGATTGAAATCATAAAAATAAAAAATCTTTTAATAAGAATTTTAATATAAAATATTTAATATCTAATAAAATAAAGACTTATTATATTATAGCTACTAAATAATATATTCCATTTTCTTAGCTAGTAGATTTTATAGATTAAGATATAATATAATTATTATAAATTTCTATACAGTTTTCAGAACAGGAGTCAAATGTCTAAGAGCTGCTGGATATTACAAATAATCTATTATATAACCGGCTTTTTCTATTTATTAAGTACTACCAGCAGTTGTGCTATTTCTTCATTAAAATATTTTTTAACTCAGTTGTATCTTGTAATTTGATACTCTGGCCTGGGTTTTGTAGCTCTATGTTCTTTACTTTACTTCCCCAGTTTTATTATTCCACAGGGTGGGTGACTCCAGCTATTTCCTAGGCTTTCTAATTTATAATAATGGTTACTAAGATTCTTACCAGGAGTTAAAAATTTAAAGTATGTATTTGAATACTGCGTACGTACAATTTGGCGGGCTCACCATCCAATCATCTATGTACTTCACAGTTCCAGCCTCGTGCTTCGCCAAGCCCCGTCCCGTATTATCTCCGCACCAAGTCAACAGCTGGTTGGACCAGCAGTCCCTTACTTGAAATGAAGTGGCGCCCAAGTGGAGTTGGCGGCAGGGATCAGCCTCGTATCAACACTTATCCACAAGAGACCCATGGTAGGAATGCTTGAATCGCTTTCACGGCATGAGTGTTTACAATACTCTAAATCACCTGAATCATGCTACAGCCACCCCGATAACCTTGGACAAGTCAATTTACCGTATTGGATAACCCACCCAGGGCACCATCAACAACCACGGTCATACAACCTTGCCGTCAGCGTCTCAAGCACGCAAAGGATCAGGCTATGCAGGGATTGACGGTGGGCTGTGCCGCTGCGCCAATCCCTTGCCCAAAATGTCCTTACTTATACCTGAGGCTCGAACCGCCCCCACGTCAGATATTTTTGACGATGTGAAGAACCGTTGAGGGAACAACTAACAGACGGTGGTGCTGCTGGTGTTCACGGCCTATATTCGTCCAAAATGTTGGGCAATATCTTGCCGAAAGGAAAAGCCTTTGCGCGCCTACCCGGGAAACGGCCATCTACAGATGTGAGGAGCGCGTCTAGTGAGAATGATGGCGACTCGCTACCTTGGTATGCACGGCAGCAACATATGTGGTCGCCTGTGATATTACGCTCCGTGCCTCTGGCTGTGTTTGTGGTGCTATTCATATGCTTTATTATTGTTATCGAGGTGTTGTATTCGGTATCTACTCGGAAGGAAGGCTTGAGCACGAGCGAGGAAAGATATCATTATCTGTGGACCTATGGCCCGACCGCAGGTAAGACATTCTTTGCTTATTGTCCTTCTGATGGAACATGCTGATCCTGTAGTTCTTACAATTGTCGCGGGGTTCTGGGGCCAGGTCGAATATCGAACGAAGCAGCTTATGCCTTGGAAGCTCATGAGTCACGAGCCAGAACCTGCAACACGATCCTTGCTGCTGGACTATGTGTCTGACTGGAACGTGGTCATCCTATTTCGCGCCCTGAAGCAATCCTCCTGGGCTGTTGTCCTTGCCGTTCTCGGAACACTGCTCATCAAGCTAATCACCGTGGTCTCGACTGGTCTGTTCATGTTACAAAATGTCTACATGAAGGATGTTCCAACAACACTCACGACGCAAGCGAGCTTTAACGGTGCTGGGTATAATGGTTCCAAGGTCGATGGAACGGCTGCAATGGTTGTAGCTGGGGCTTGGTGGCTTAACCTGTCATACCCGTTGGGATCAACCGATAAATACGCCTTTCAACCGTTCACAACCTCTGGCAAGAAACTCGGTGGGACTAATTGCTCCACTACCAGTTAGACGAGTCACTGACTTCTTTCCAGGTGCCGATGCTGTCATTTCAGGAACAGTCGACATGTTCTCTGCTGATCTTCAATGCGACGTAGCTACGGTCGCGAATTGGACTTCGGGTTGTAGCACACAAATGTGCGAGTACGATGAACTCAATATGACGCTCAGCACCCCTTCCTGCTCGAAGTACCCGTTCACAAGCTTTGAAAGAAGCTCCTCTTCGGTTGGGGGATACTATGCCGACGTATTCAGCGCCACATGTACGGATACGGCGGATAGTCGGAATGGCGAACGCCTAATCTTCGCTGCCGCCCACTGGTCTGAGAACATCACCAGAGTTCAAGCGCTCGTTTGCAGTCCTACCTACACAATATCGCAAGGATCCGTCTCGCTGCTCTACGGCAATCAGAGTGTGATTAGCATCCAACCATACAATAATGATTCTAGCAACAAAACAATCACAGGGTTCGAGGGTATGGAGTTGGGAACAGGACTTATTTCCTCCCTATCGTTGGCTGAGAACACCTTGGATACGCTGAACTACGTGGATACGTCAACGCATGCCCTTACAACCTATCAATACAACCTTTCGGACCCAAACAGCACCTATCCGAGTGCATTTTACTTGGTCGCTAATTTGACCTCTCCCCATACGATGAAAGACTTGCTTGATGCTTCAATCTTGGAAAAGGTTTCCCGTCCGACATTCAGTGCTATGGCTGCCCAGATAGCAAAGCAATATTTACTGTCTTCTGCAGACGAGAACCTTGCAGGGACATACTCCGCCCATACCCAGAGAGTTGTTGTCAGGGAACTCTCAGTCCGAATAATGGAAGCTACCCTAGGAGTCTTGATTATCCTGACCGCAGCGCTATGGATCTGGAGACCGGTTCGCTGCACGTCGCGTGATCCTGGCACAATTGCTGGGCTAGCAAGCATGATGAGCCGCAGCCCGAAAGTGTCCGAACGGCTCACAGGCTGCACAAACGCCCAAGATCTCACCACAAGCCTATCAGATGGGAGGTTCTACACCCGTGTCACAGACAGCGATGGCTGGAAAACATTTGGCATCGAGGAAGACCAGAAGGCAACCGAAGCGACTCGTCCTGGAGCCAGCTCTGGCCCTCTGACCTGGTGGCGGCCAATTTCAGTGAATGTCTGGTGGTGGATCATATCTATAGTACTCCCCCTTCTCATTATTGCGGGGTTAGAAGCATCCTATCAGGTTTCCGCCCGTCAGGATGGACTCGGAACTGTCACCTCTGGTGGCTACATCCACTATGTCTGGGCCTATTTGCCGGCACTGATATTCCTTATCGTCCGCATCTTCTTCGACTGCATCCACTTCTCTGCCATGGTATTCCAGCCGTACCTGGAGCTCCGACAGGGTGGCGTGACCGCACCGGGCAGTCTTATGGAAAACCACCTGTCTAAGCTGACCTTGTTCTCATTCTTTACCGCAATCAAGCGCAGACAGTGGGCCGTGTGCGCAACAGGATTTACCGTCCTTCTAGCTCCTGCGCTCACAGTGGCGGTCAGTGGGCTGTATTCAACACAGGACATTGTATACACGCGTTCTGCTTCAATTGCACGAACTGACACCTTCAACACCACCATCAGCCCTCTTTCTTCCACCACCACTGACCCCGGTCTCGGCCTCACAGGAGCCCTTGTAGTGGGAGCTAATTTATCATACCCCGCTTGGACGTATGACGAGCTCGTCCTCCCTACGCTCAGCGAGGCATCCCTCACCGATAAAGACGGGGTGGTTCAAACCAATTCCTCCTCTTTTAATAGCACCTCCGACAGTCCGATCCTCCTTAACGTCACCCTCCCAGCTCTCCGTGCCAACCTCACCTGCGAAGCACTCCCCCAAGACATTGTTTATTACATCAGGTCTGCCGAGGATTCCTTTTCCATGTTCGATCTGCGCATGCAGCTCGACAAGAAATGCCAAGGTGTCGACACCTCCACAGACTTCACCATATCAACCGACTATCCCAACGCAACACGCACTACATTCGGTGCCTTCAAATACCTCAAAGATGCAATCGATTTTGGCGACTGCCCGGCACTGATGGGATTCTACGGTGTAATAGATGGCAATTCCACAGCACAGATCCGCGGCTTCACCTGCAACCCGCAAATCGACGAAGTCGATGCGACAACCTCGTTGTCACTCCCCGGTCTGGACATCCAGTCTGCGACCGCGGACGACTCCACCAGCCGAGTCTTTTCAACAAACATCTCCACCACCCTCAAATTCGAAAGCTTCCTTTCCCAGCCTGTCAACAAGCAAGACCAAGCGTTTGACGCCTTTTTCTCCGCCATGCTCAATGACCAAAAATCCCTCTCCTTATCCGACATCACTGACCCATCCCATTATTCCACTGTCATCAACGCAACACAACATCTCTACCGCACCCTGATGGCCCAGTCTATGAATGGCAACGCACGAATCCCATCCAGTGACAACCGAACTACCTTCCCTGGCACAATCGTAGACCCGAATCGTACCCGTCTTACACAAAGCGCCATATCTACCCGCATCCTTGAAGCTTTTCTCGCTGCTATGGTCGTGTCCACCCTAGTCGCATCCTACTTCATGCAAACCAAAGAAGTCCTTCCTTTCAACCCGTGCAGTATTGCTGGCGCGGGGGCACTGATCGCTGGATCGGACGTGCTGAAGAGTGATACCTTACCTGCTGGGTCAGAATGGTGTAATGATAGAGAAATGCTTCGAAGGGGGTATTTCTCCGGCTTGGTATTCGGGTTAGGTTGGTGGGCTGGAGACGACCCGAGATTTGGGATCGATGTTGGGCGGGCAACAGAGGAGAGGGAGTAGATTTCCTTTTTATTTTTCACGGTTTATATGAACATAATGAAGATTTACCATTGGCATGATGAAAATTTATCATATGCTACAGAATTATCAAAGGGAATAACTTCCTTATAATTATAAAGACTACTAACGATTCATTTAACATTGCTCTCGTCTGTCTATAAATCATTTAGAAACAGCACTTTCCTATCTGGTTCCTTTCCTGCAAAGCCAGAACAATCCAGACGGGAACAATCTATAATATACGTACATACATGCATAATCTAGACTATCATTGACCAAACCAACCATGTACACATCACACATAACAATTCTCATTCGCAACAGCTACTGCTCCTGCTCCTGTCCAGTATAACAATACACACCATCGATATACGTCGTAGGAATCTCACGACTACCACTAACTCCCCTGAGAACCGGGTCGTCTTCGGGACTGTCGTACAGATCACAGGTAGCAGTAGAGGAGACGTAGGAGTAATCGCCACTTTCACAGATCACAGATATGTTAGCACATTTCGGGATACATGATTTGAAAGGGGGGGGCGGGTGCATACGGGCGATCCAATCCAGTAAGCTGCCTCAATTCAACCCTCTGTTGGTTGGTCTCGGATGCACTGGATCCGTACTCGATCTGTTTGATTTTGTATTTGTTATCTCATGTTAGCTATTAAACTACGTAGGTTTTTCATTGTGGTTTTCATCTTGTGAAGAAGAAGGGGTATCGGCATACCACGATAATCTGGCTGACCACGCCGGAGGCGAAAAAAAGCCAGAGTAACGGTCAGGATGGAGGACTTGTTGAAGAACATATTGCTTTTGATTGTGTTTCTTTTTGGGGAATAAGAGAACGGCAGTGGGTTTTGAGGTAATACAATAGTCTGCTTTTTCAGTCGAGGGGTTTATTGCATCCGGTGAGTGGACTTGGGAGAAGGTGGGGGCGCGGGGGGAGGGAAAGGGGGAATCTATAGTATTGAAAAGGTGACGGTGATCAGCAGTCAGGGTGAGATTAAGCTGGGTGACTTTTGAGAAGTTTTCTCTGTATGAATTAGCAATTCGAGGAATTCTTGGAGAGAGGAATAATAGTGGGCGATCTTGTTAGTCACTTTAGGAATATACATAAACACGTCTAAGCATATATATTATTATATTAATCCATCCCCTGCATATAGCGTACACACTCATTGATCAACATGCTCAATCATATATCCAAACCCATGACATAACTCATTTACAGCAGCTCTTCCTCCTGCTCATAGGTGTAGCAGTACACAGCTTCAATGTATGTCGAAGGAATCTCGCTGCTGCCACTGATCTTTGAGAGGGTGGCATCGTCCTCGCTGTTGCTGTATAGATCGCAGATATCGGGGGTAGAAAAGTAGGAGTAAGTACCACTGCATGAATATAATTAGTATATGTCTGGACGGTTGAGATATTTGGAAGTGGGGATGGGATGGGGAGAAAGTCGTACGGATAGTCGAGCTTCTCAAAGTCTTGCAATTGCACCTCCTGCGTGTAGGCGTCGTATTCGCTGGTGCCGTATTCGATCTGTATGCATTAGGATTATATTAGTCTTTGTCTCCGTCACTTCAAGATGCAGAGGTAGCAATAACGTACGTTAATCAACTGGCCGACAACGCCGGAGGCAAAAACGGCCAGAGTAGCGGCCAAGACAGACTTGTTGAAGAACATTTTGTTTTTGTTGTGGTTGTGTAGGGGGTTAGACAAGAGTCGGGGTTTGAATTGGTAGAGATGGTTTGTTTTTTGATTGAATGGTTTATTGCATTCGGTGAGTGTACATGGAGGGGGTTTAAGTACTATTGAAGAGGCGGCACGTTTAGTATCCCTCTATGATAACGCTTCAATAGTCTCGTCAGCTGAAGTGCCTTTTTCGGATGGTTCTTCTTGTCTGTTTCGTCGATCCGGATAATTGCTCGGAGCCGTCGGGGGAACTCGATGCCGGAAGCTTGATATTTGTAGCTCTTGGTTAGCTTAGGTTGGTGATCGACAGCTGGGCTGAGATTTAGATCGAGTGTTTGGGAGGCTTGGTATGATGCTATCGGGGATTTCTGAAGACATGTAACCATGTCAATTGTGATGCCATAGCTTAACACAAATTCAATTATATCATTACTCAACAGTATTTCACTGCAATGGTATCATATTCGCAGTGAACAGGAGTTTCTGCCATCGCTGGGGACAATCGGTGGACGCGTGCACGCGGGCCATCCAGAGGCATCCGCCGCACTAGTGCGATAGTAGCCGATCTCGCCAGCCACTATATGTCCATCGCGACGATCAGCGCTGCCAACAATTTGAGATACTCGTGTTTGTGTCCCTCGCGATGGCAGACATTTGGCAGTCCGTGCATGAGAAGAGTCGGTCAGCTAATTCAATTCCAGGATCGGAGAATATCTGGCTCGTTGCCTGTCTAAGGTCGGCAGTTATTGTCATCATTTACCGGCAGGATGGATGGAGAGGTGTGTACAATAGCTTGTTGTTATCTTGAAGTTAAGGTTACTAGCTAGCCAAGGTGGCTGGACGGACGGGAAGCTTGGTTTATTCTAAGGGGACTATATGCTGATCGGCTATAGATCCGATCCTGGGCTCCATAGAGCGGGTTGGCAGGCGTAGCCATGGCTATTGCGCGTAATGAAAATAGTGAATAACGCATAATTCAAGGCAAATTACACCAAGATGGAGAACAATCTAGTTAGGATTTATATCAGAGTAATTGAATAGCGATCAGAATGTGCTACTAAAAGGTGCCTTGGATTTCATTATCTTCAAAGTAATCTAGTTGTGCTTTTGCCTCAAAGAACAAGTCATATCACAAGACCCTTAAATGCATATTATCCTGAAGCTCCGGGACCAACTAATTATAGCAGTGACAGTGTGGCTTTCGTGAGGAGTTATTGCATGGTGGCACCTTTCTCATCACACCAGTCACCTGCGTCAAGACAGAAAACCTTTGGAGCCGGTTATGCAGGATCATACGAATGAGCACCAGGAGGGGCATACAGTTCGATGGAGCTTTTACTATACGAAGTCTGTTAAATGGAACCCGAAATCATACTTCCACGGCGCGGCCAAGACTTACGGGTTGATCTCGCAGGTGCCAATATTCTGGAACGTGGTGATGAGGCCTCTCGTGTGATTGTTATTAGCTCGGCTTTTCAAACATGGTTTATATATCATGTTGAGGCATCCATGTAGACTAGTCACGTGCTGTACTCAGACCTCCCACACAAAGCATCTCTACACATTACTTTATTTTATTCTCCTAGATAGTTTAATTTAACTTATTCTTTTACTTTTATTCATTTATTTTATTTATTTTATTACTTTTATAAAATACTTCTTAACAGGTTATAAGCCCAGTCTTTATATTATAAAACTATTCAGGACTTGCTACAGCCAGCCATTTATTACTAGATAAAATATTTTAATATTATAAAATATTAGTCTTAGCAAGTCTAACAGATCTAATTAGATTACTTATATATATTAAGAAAATATATTATATAATTTATTTATTTACTTATATTAAGCATGTTAAACAGACAGAATAATATAAAAAATTAAATATAAAATATTATTTAAAAATCTTTCTCTAAAAAAAAAAGGTAATAATATCTAAATCATAAATAAATAAATTATTTAAATAAATATTTAATAAGATTCCAGAATTATTACTTTTATTAAAAAAATATAAAAATTTTTTAAAATAAGACTTCTAAGTCAAGCAGATACTTAAAAATATTAAATTACTAAATTTAATTAATAAAAATCTATTTAAATCTAATAATAAGTATATAAAATATAAAATATAATAAATTTATTTAAAGATTATCTAATTATGATTAACTCAGAATCTATTAAATAAAATATTTAATTTATTTATAAATTTTATTAATATAAAAGAATATATTAATAATATATATTAAATACTCTAGAAAATTATTTTTAAATACAGTATTATACTATATTAGAATATTATATATAATTTTTTTTAATATAAAATAATCTTTATATATTACAGCAGTTGAATTTATTAAAAACTTTTAATTTAATTTTATTCTTGGTAGAACCCTGTAATATAAAATATTAATTTTTATAATAATATTTATATTTTTATAAAAAATATAAATTAATATATTTATATAAATTATTTTAATAAAGAGCAGGATACCAGAGAACTCAAATATAATTTATAATAATAATAATTTTTATATTATTTATAGAAATACAAAGAAACAGTATAATTAATCTAATAAAATAGAAATAATAATTATTATAAAAAAAAATTAAGATTTATTTAATAAATTATCTACTACTAAGAAAGAGTAGAAGAAGGCTATATATTTTATAAGAAATATATTTTATAAAAAATATATTATTAAAATAAAAAAAATAATTTTTAAATATATTAATAAAGTTTATAGCTACTACAGATATACTAATTATAATTAAATAAAATATTAATATATTAATATAATCTTATATCTAAGATAATAAAAATTATATATTTTAAATATTTAATTCTTCAGGAGAAAGTATAATTAATATAAAAAAAAATTAAATTTAAATTTAAATATTAATAATTCTAAAGAAGCAGCAGTACTAATAAAATAAATTATAAAAATATTTATTTAATATATTACTTTATATAATATAAAATCAGATAATAAAAATTTAAATATTTTGAATTTCTCTGGAATAATAGTTAGAAGTATTATTAATTATTTATTATATTAGATTTATAATATAAATAATTTTTAATATCTTATACTTGATTATATCTTACTAAATTATTATTATAATCTAGATATTTTTAATTTCTATAAATATAGTATTTTTAATAAAAAAATTAATATTATTAAATCAGCTAGCTACTAGATTCTATTTTTATCTATAAATAATAAATATCTTAAGATTCAGATTAAAATATTTTATTAATTAAATCTTATTTATAGTCTTCTCTCTGCAGATCTTTTATAAAAGAATTTTAAAATATATATAAATATTAAGAATCTGACCCTATACAGGAAAAAGAATAATAAAATAATAAAATATTTATAAATAAATAAAAATATATTTTTATATATATTCAGAATATAAAATTAATTCTTATTATAATTAATTTTTTATTATTATATAAATAATATAAATATATAAAATTGTACAAGATTATCTCCGCTATAAAAAATTAATAAATTAAATTTAAATATTATAAGAATTTTTATTATAATATATATTTACTAGAAAAAGTAAAGTACTTAATATTAAAAAATCTTATTTTAAAAATCTTTAATTTTATATAATTCTAGCACGTGGACATGCAGCAGATAATTTTAATTAATTATAAAAAATTTAAATTATTTTTAATAATAGTAAATAATATTATTTAATTAATTAAAATAATTATATTAAAATAGAAAAATAATATCTCTATAGAACTGATTCAGATAAATAATAAATATAAAAATATAATTAATAAATATATTACTTTATAATATCTTAATAAAAACCATAAGTTTAATAGATTTAAATAATAAATATACTATAAAAATTAAGAAATTTATATTATAATATTAGTATCTAAAATATCTGAAGCTAATAAACTTATTAAGTATTATAATAATTTATTTAATTAAATAAATAAAATCATGATATTTAATTCAGATTTACTTATAATTTTCTGATTATTTATTATAAGATTTATTATATAAATTTTTAATTATCTAGTCCCTGCAGGAAATAAGATTAAAAAAATATTTATTTATTTATATAAATTATTTTATAATTTTCT